GCCACTGTGGTGTTATTCAGGGTACTAAGATGTCAAGCCTCTTATCCTGTAAATTCACTACCTAATCAGCACTGTATAACGGATATAACTTACAAAGCAATATATATATATTTTTTTGCATTGCAATAACGATAGAATTCTAAAACGGCAACCTGTTTGATTATTTCAATAAATATACATAACGGTATAATTAACGGCACAGGCTCATTGTTTTCCATAACATTTTGCTTTATATGTAGAACAATTTACAGGACCTTGGACAGTGCATAAATATTCAAAAAGACGCTCCCAATTTCACAAATGTACACCAGGTGACGACTAAGGCAATCTGTGATGGAGGCATTAATCAATTTTAAAACTTAAAGGTTATGTAATAGGGACTAATATGCAATGTATTATTTTGGAAAATACAATCATATGTCGTGTCCTGATCATAGAATTGATGATATATTAGTATAAGATAGTAGTTTTTCATGAGACATGCATACTATTTATATACTACTTATATTATTACTGGGAATATTATTATACCATTTATTGTTTAATTTCTTCTTTTGCCATATTACTTAAATAGAATCGTAATATAAATGTGTCAAGAAAACATAAGTATTTGTTAAAGTTTGACTAGACATTTATTTTATTCATAAATAGAATTAATATAGTTCAGCGTGACCATGATCTATTGCATAATCAACATGTTCACATGTTAGGTAGATAACATACTATCAGCGCCGTTAATGGGCAATAATGAAACTATTTCAATATAAACCATAAACCTTAAATATTGGTCATAAACTCCATCATTATAGAATAGCTATGCTGAGTTGTTTACATCACCAAACGAGGTGGAATGGATTTTTTTTACAAAATAATGTATTATAATATTTCACAGAATAGATTAGAATAAAAAATCATTTAATTTAATAAACTTAGAATTAGAGCACTTTTGAATAGTCATCACTTATTTTTTTAATCTACCGCTCATTCGGAACGTTTTCTCATCACAAAAAGAAGCCGCAAGAAACTTGCTTGTTTCTCTTTGAAATTTGCAATACGAAACGTTAGTTTAAAAAATTGTCATAAATTTATGAAACAGTCGACAATTTTATTTTTAATTATACGATCTGGTCACGACATACAGTATATACAGGCAAGTAAGTCGAAGGTCCATGGTAATTTGATTCACCGTGTCATCGGACCGGGCACCGTTAGCTAATCGAATGTATTTTGATGACAGTTAATGAGTTACACAGTCGCAATAAAGTACATTTTTTGCTATAGATTTTACCCTAATAAGGTTATTATCGAATCTGGAATATTATTGTGAAATATTAATAGTTAATTAATTAAGTAAGTGATTATTACCACAGATTACACACAATTGTTAATAGGTAAACTTTCTATTTCATTAGGAAATGAAATAGAAAGTTTACAGCATTAAACCTATTTTATACAAATAGAACAGAATTTTTAAATGCGCGATTCGGAACATTTTTAAATGGATTCTTAGTGATCTCCAAAATAGTTTATAGTAATAATAAATACCCAGGGATACATGACATAGCATATGTAAACTAAACCATAAATAAGAGTATATTTCAAATACGTAATTGAACCTCAGTTTACTCTAAGCAGATGATGAAGTCTACTCATCATCTGCTGCATTGATTGCTATGCAGTGATTTACAATCCCGACTTTTAGGACTTAAGGTTGTGAGTTCATATCTACCCGATACAAAAAAATATGATAATTTATATTTCTGTATAACTTTTCAAGTCAAGGAAACATCGATAACAATTTTATTAATCCGAGAATCAGCGATAGGCTTGCTTCTATTATGTTAGATTCTTTATTGACCGAAATATCATCATTTTGAGTGCTGCGTTCATCACATGTCAGTTTAGTGAAGTTCAAGGCAAAGACAATACCCCATCTGTAATACTAACCAAGACTACCCCATCTGTAATAAAAGTCTTTAAGGTACTATTAATATCTTATGAATACATATGTAATGGAAACGGTATCACATACATACATTAATAACTGCATTGTTAGACTTAATTTTCAGCAACAAATTATTAATTTTGTAATCTACTTACATACTCTATCACAATAGTCGGTCAGCTAAAAATAACAACATGTAATAGTAAACACGCAGTACCGTAGCTTACTGAATACATTTACCAATAGAATGCATATGTTAGGTAGATAGATATTATATATAAATCTAGAATTTCTAAACATATAGTAGTATTTTCGTATTGTATAAATTTCGCAATTATATTCCATTTACAATTAAACATGTTAATTTTGACTATTTGAACCTACTATCATTTTAGTGCGATAAATCTGTGAAAATTCTATCTCCTCGGATTACAAGGACCAAGAATCATTTAAAATTTGATTAAAAATACGAAATTCAAAATTAAATTTTAATATTGCTGGCTTTAATTTCGTAGATTAACTGCAAAAGACATATAAAAAAGATAGTAAAATAAATATTTCATCGATCCATATAAGTGGATGATATTATTCTAAATAGATAGAAAATAGATACGTTCCTAATAAATGTAATAAATATAATTGTTATTTTATTTAAAAATAAACAATTAGGCATAAGTATCTGTATTGTAATGGAGGGCAGCGTAAATACATTACTAATGACATGAAGCGTAACGAAGTAAGATCCTGATCTTACTGTTGAGCTACCGGTTCATCAACAGATTTTTGCAGTCATTCAGCTTGTACCGCAACGTAGAAAACAAACGAGAAATTACTACATTACACAGTCCTACAAGAGTTTGAATGATGACATAAACAATTACTGAATTGAATAGAATTACAAAACAACGTAGAAAATGGGTTCGTGAGTAGTGTCCCCCAGAGACGGTGTTGCTTCGCCGTAACATTTTTTTATGTAATCGGAACGGTAAACAAGCTGTTGATGCATCTGATGGTAAGTGGTAACTGTCGCCTATATACATGAACAGTTATCACGTGATCACGTGACGCCCGTGATATCACTCATGCGTGCTGATATCACTAGTGCAATTCCGGAGAACTGAGATGTTATTTTTTTAATTTAATTCAGGCCCATATTATAAATACCTTAGAGACTAATACATAAAAAAGAATAATAAAATAAAAATTCAATTTGTCTCTATGGTCACGGCACTGACGACGGCAATCAGGCGCAAATAACTGCAACACAGTTTTTATAAACTAGTGTAGTTGTATACGTTTAACATGTTATTGTTATAATTTTGTTTTTGGTTTGAATAAATTCTTTAATAATCTGATACGGTAGCGCGGATACACCACCTCCTTCGCTCAGTAGACTTCCTTCATAAAGGTGGGCAGCATGTTGGCCGAACCGAAGGCTTTGAAGCTTGCGTTGTGGAATCAAGCTCCAGCTACGTCACCCTCAATGTCAGGTAATTATTGGTCGACGATGTCCTGTTATAGATCTTACTACTAATTTTACTGATTAGTTAGGATGAATCAGTAAAAGTACGATAAGTCCTACAACCTTTATTGGCGATTGAAATAGGTGAGACCGAGGTAGACACGCAGACAAATTTTTACGAGGTCTACATAGCTCACAATGTACCTATTAAATGCAGTTGTATAATAATATACAATTTAATGATTGATAGAATAAACTGCAATTGATCTAATGAAATCAGCAACACGTTCACGATGCTTTAATGTTATTTGTTCTCTGGCACTCCGCTTACATAATAGGTAACTCTTAAGTAACTGGATGTGAAGATAGTCGAGATTCACTTCTCAAGGTAGACTTGTGACCGAAGGATTATCACTCATTAAATAGACAGCTGTTAATATATAATGAATTCGAGGTTGAATATCGACAGTGTTATATACATTAGACATAAAAAATATTTTTTTATAACATTCTCTTAAATCTCCGTTTTTCACATAGATTTATTAAGGATATTTACAGCCAGGGGATTGATGTTGGATGGCTTCAATTGCAATAGTATACGATGAACTGTGCATTAACAATTATAGACAAAAAAGTAGTTACGTAAGACTGAATTGTGTAAGTAAAGCGTGCATAGAATTGCAACGTAATTTTATATACATCTGTGATATAGAATTTGATACCAAAACCAATACTGAAACTATACGTTCCACGTATACTATATTTATCATAAACTTTAATAGTAATGACATGCGCCAAGGTAAAGAAATTAATTGAAATAAATTTAGCACTTAATATAAATACGAATGCCAGTACTTATACAATATATACAATCTTTTCTCGAAATTAATGATCTAGTTTCGTTGATATTTCTGGTTCTGATTCCATGTAACTTATGAGGAAGTGAATCTAAATATTATTTGTAAATACAGTATAGAATTAACTTTCTTTTATGAAACATAATACGACTTTCAATGTTGTTTTGGAAGAATATAAATAAAGCTACTGTATCTATTATAAATTATATTATTACTTCTTTGGTACAGAACCCAATACTAAATATTAGAAATATATTGCTGACTGGCAATCGGATGCACAATTATAATATTCTCATTGAACTTTGATTCACATTTGCATATTTAAAATACGTATTTTGTAATTTGTATATTATATAGAGTACTAGCAATCACCTCGGCTTCACACGGGTATACAGTGTATATGACGGAGGTCCTATATCTCGAAATTATAGTGAAAACTGTGCAGTCCGTTGCGTCATTTAGAATAAAGACAATACAAAGTGATATATTATTTTTAGATACATATTCTGCATATTTTTCAATAAATACACACACACAATACACGATTAAAAACATTATCACATACTTCCGAAATTATTCGAACATCTTATCATACAATTTTAAATTAAATAAAAATTTATTTTTATGTCCTTAGGCACATAAAATTTTTGCGTGGTAATTGTATTTACTATTTCTTGTTATCTTTTATATTTGCTAGATTAATGAGAACTATATTTATGAATGTAAAACCGGCGTATCAATTAAATTTTTCCAAATATTCCAATATTTTTGGAAACACGTATTTCGGCGCCTTTACACCCCACACATGATTATGATGACTCCAGCTTGGTTCTGGCACTACGTAATTTTCTACAAGATTTGGTAATTCAGAACTGAGCGTGTCTATATCTTTTAACGAAGATAACCAATCATTTTCACCACAAATTAAAACTATTGGTGAACTTATTAGCGACACATTATATTGGGGTGGTATAGACGTTCCGTATCTTTTCACATTTCCTTCCACACCTTCGTCGTATCGCTGGAAATGCTTGGAATTTATTAATTGACCGAAATGCGCCAGACTTTTTGATGAAGTACCACTAAGTAGATGACCAAATGCTATCTCTAACGTCTTACTTGGTATAGTTCCATTTACGTAACCTGTGGCAGCATATAATGAAGTACTACAAAAGGAATTCGAGAACACTTGGCATAATATTTCAAATATAAAGTGTATAGGTTGATCATGTGATAACAATTCACTATTACCGGAGGAATCTAAGAAAATTTTGAGAAGTTGCGTTGCTTGCGACACAACCTTCAATATAGGGTTGGCAATATTTGTCATCCACGCGACAGGAGCCAGATGGATGGCTACGTGAATCTTATCATTGTATTCGGGCCTCAGTGAAGTCATCACAAAGAAATCTGTAGTTCCTTGAGAATGTCCTATATAACTGATCTTTTGCCGTTGAGTTACTCGAAGAATATAGTCTACTATAGCAGGAACGTCGAAATGTCCATGTTCGTCGAATGAGTAATTCCAGTACTCCATGTCAGTGTCAGGATTATATTCAACGTGTTTTCTGGAGTACCTATTTCCTCTGTGGTTATGCGCCCATACGTCGTAGCAATTCTTGGCAAGTATGTATCCAATTGCTGTATCTTTGTCTGGAATTATCCATACATCAGAGCTGTCGAAAATTCCATGCATTAATAACACCGGGTGTCGTTTACTTGATTCTTGACAGTTTGTTAAAATTCTGAATGCTGTTAAAATGTAACCATCTTCAGTTGTTACTGTATGCTCTTCACTTCGATATCCATGTTTGGTTGCCAATTCTGTGAAGTTTAGGTATGTATCTTCGTGGTAACCTAAGGCTTTTTTGAACGGCCTTAAATCCGAAGTGGGGTATGGTGCAAGTTTATTACGTCTTGTGGCAGAACTAGCCGGCAATGAGGATACATGCTGTACAAGATATGTTAAGTATACTCCGCCAATTACCAGTAATATATTGTATTTAAGAATGTCCATCGACTAATATCACTTAAGGCAAAAAGGATAAATAACTAATCATGACTTAGTAAACACTTTTATAATATTATTTTGACCTTAGACTAAGATCCGATAAAAACTATAGAAACTCATTTTGTACATTACGGACATGTATTTTATGTACTTCTAATTTAGAAGTTGTAAAACATCATATTGTATGGTAATGAACATAGTGGGATATACATATTCATATAGGCATACTATATGATGGAAAATATATGAGTGATATGGATTCTTTGAAGTATTGTATTAGTGAAAACTAAATGAAAGGTGCTCATTCATTATATATGACAATAGGAACATACATAGATGGCAAAATACACAAATTGTATACTTCAAAATTGATATAAATATAACATAATTTGAAAATATATATTCCTATTACTATAGCATTTATGATGATTTTTAAGTAAATAGTAACGATATAAATAATCCAATTATAAATAAGTTTAGTCCGTGTCTCTTCTTTCTTGTTACAATCTCGTGTGTCTTATTTATATGTAGTTGATTGATGTTTCTTATGCTGTAAAATAGTGTTAGATATGTCGAACGAAACTCGAGAAACAACGTTCTATATTATTTTTTCTAAAATCACATGGTAGTGGATACAATTCTACTTCCGCATATTTGTTTACAATACAAAATATTAGTATCGTGTTCCTCATTATTTATTTAGACGTACTGTACCTTGAAATTAGCATTTGATATGTGATTAAATGAAATGAATCTGCACGTCCTTACTTTCATAAAATAGTTTAATTTAAATACATAGTTATCAAATGTTATTCGTTTATTTCTTCTAATTTATTGTTATAAAATAATTAACCCTATATCAAAGTTCTATAATCGCTATAATAACTTTTTACTTTATTATAGCTGCATTGGAGAGAAAAATAATATTAATATCGATTCAATTTACTTCATTTTTGTGTTTACAAAGTAAACAAGACTAAACAAATAAATAAAGATGTTAGTTCTTTTATAGTACACGAAATATAGAATTAATTCGTTACTAGCGCCTAAATTCAGTAAGTACAGTATAAAAAAGTGCGAAACATAGCAATTCAATGTCATTTGAGCGGATATTGCATCCAGCGTAACCCGTCTGATCTTTACTTCAAATTTATTAATAAATAATTGTGAACATTACACACAATATCATTTAGTCTCCAACAAAGTAAAACTTGGTTTACAGATAACAAACCGTCTAAAAATGTATAAAATAATATAGGTGTGTGTTTATGTTTGTTATTAATACAAACAGTTACGTTCATGGATTCAAATGTTTCCTACATTATGCGGCGATCGAACCCGCTACTATCAGAAAATGAGGCAGCGTGTTCAATCACCACAGCAGAGTCGTTATATTTTACCTTAAAGTCTACAAAATACCAATAATTTCATGTTTAAATATCCGGGTATATCTTTTGGGTCACTAACCGTTCAGCACAGTCGTGATATCAACGACCTTTCGCTGCAGCGCATCCTCAAAATGTCAGATTATTGAGTAATTACTAAGTGTAAGCAGTACATTTCAATAAAGATGAACACTGATGAAATGGTTCGTTATCATACTTTTTCTTTAGATGCAAGTTTGATTCTGAAACGAAACACATCATTAGATCTATGAAGATTTTGAAATAAGAATCGTAATATTATTAAAACCGTATAATTTATTATTTATTTCTACTGAGACTATAAAAAATGCATAAACTTTAAGAAAGTAAGCGTTTATAGTAAATGTTTGTATACAATATTAATGTGACACTTGTAGAAAGTTGTTACGGATAATAAAAGAAACAGTTCAGTGTCGATAAATTCTTTAAGTATGTATATAATTTTTAAATATAGTTATAAAACATAGTTTACTAGTAGCCAGTCAGGCTTCCAGGTAATTAACATAAAATTCAATATTTTCAACACACATACACATATACATTGATTTTGATATTCCGTATGTTTTTCATACGTTGTGGTATATTATCGAAGTTTTTATACTCTACATTTATCTAAGAAAATGATGGATTCTAATTGAAAAATAAATATTTCAAATTGGTCTTGTAGTATTGGAGCCTATTCAGCAAAAAAAAACATAATAAAATTTGTCTTTAGTATTTTCAATTTGTTTAATTTCGACCGACAGTAGGTATATTTCTAGAGTAATGTCTATTGTTAATTATCCGGTGAAATTAAGGCGACTGAGCATGGTTTGGCGTCTACTATGTAATACTAATTACTAAGAGCAATGTTAAAATTTTTTTTTTTGCTTTTATATACTGCTTTATAATTTTAATCTTATAAATTCAAAAAAAGGTCTAATTGTATTTCCAAAACATTCAATAAAATTGAAATATATGCATCGAATTTTATCCAAATCTGTTCAGTTGTGTAGGAGTAGTTATGTGATAAACACAAGTAAAGAAGAACTACATATAATTAAGAACTATATATATTATTCAGAATTACATTTATTAAAGTGTAATTATATATTTATCTCACGAACAGAAATAAATAAGCGTTATTACTGGACAATATGTAAATGTTTCTGTCACTTACTGCTGACGGTATTACGATATTTTGGGTAAGAATTCAATAAATAAAGTCAACGCGACAATTTGTGAATTAGAATTCCTAAATTAGAATTTCAATTATATGGAATTCACATATAATTCGGTCTTGGCATTTGGATATACAATAATATACATTTAGAAAGAATTGTCTTACGTGATTCATCGTCGTCACAATCGTTGGGCCTTGAATCTTAAAATTTCAGAGGAAACATTCATATTTATTTAATTTAGATTTTAATCTTTCTTGTTAAAACTGTATATATTTCTAAACCTTTTTATTCACTAAGAAAATAATAAAACGCTCTATTAGTTAAAGTAGGTTTTTACTTTAATATTATGTGGTTAGCTATGTATAATAATGAAATTGTTTAAATCGAGAAAACTGACTAGCTATTATCCGCGAATCTGTCTGAGTTCAGATACATAAGCCTCGTCTTCTTTGTAAACATTGTAATCTATCTTCACGAAAAATTTGATTAAGATCACATAAAATAAATAGACAGATACACTTTCTCATTTTAGCAAGTATGGTTGTTATTAAATCATAGTTATTACAGTGTACTGTTGAATTTCTACTATTTATATACAGTCTTGGTAAATTTTGATAATAAATTTTAATCTAGATAAGTAAACAGGTAGTAACTATGTAAAATACCCACGTAAAATGTCACTAGTGAAAGCTGGTGAGACTGGGATTGTTATTATTGGGTTGTGTTATGTTGGTATTATCATACAGATGGAAGATTCCTTTATCGTCGCATGCGTTACATCATATTAAACTTATGTATAAACTATTATGTTTTCCATTGTTATACCTATTAAAATTAAATGTATTTGTATGAATATATTTTATTCAAGACATATATTACTCTTTTTTTCTTAATCCACATGTTGTCTGTTTATCTCTTTATTTTAGTTTTACTGTGGTTTACATAAATCTACATATATGGATATACATATTAGTCTGAATTATTAACGTAGTATAGTATTATTTATTAGGAGTAGAAATTAATTTCATAATGACAGACTTAGATAATAAATAATAAATTAAAAGTAACAAATATTAACTAATGTAACAAACTGAAGTTTGAATATAACTATGTTCAAAATTCACTTTGTTATTCTTAAATGACAGTACATCTTATTTCTATTATGTTTTTATTACATATACATTTGTTGCTATTTTTATTTTCTAACTCTATTTTGTATTGCCAAATTAAGTTTGGTGAAGTACTAATTTTAAAATACCTATATGTTTAATAGATGAGAATTTTAAACATAATTAAAAAATTTATATTACTTAAAATGTTTTAATAAATTTTTATTCCGTCCGTTATTGCTTTTTTTGACGTGATACCTTGAATGATTGACTCGAATTATTTGAATATATTTATAGCAATACTAGCATGCTATATAAAACATTAACTGAGGTTGAACTATTACTTATTGTTCTTTCTTAAGACAAAGACCACTTCGCGTTAAAAAAAAACGTTCAGAAATGTACACAATGAAAAAGAAATTGTAATAATTGCAATAATTTCGTCCTAATTAAAATATGTTAATTATACCTTAATACTGTAATTTAATGTGTAATTACAAAGATAATGTGTTCTACGTAAGTGCAAAGTAGAAAGTTAAAGTACTTACTGTGGCTTAAAAATAGTAAGTATTGATTAATTTCACTTAAATAAAATAATTTTCTAAAAATCTCGATAGATAACACGGTGTATCTTATTTTTCTCTGTCTGTACCAAACCATACCAATGCGTGTGTTGTATTTAAAGTGCCATCCATTTTAAATATTTCACATATTTAAAATGGATGGCACTTTAAATACAACATGTAATGATGATTTTATCTTTTAGACCTAGATCTGATGATTTCGTCATATTATTGATATATATATATATATATATATATATATATTTGATATTTAGATGATTTAGATATTTTTCTGTGATATGCATATATTACAATCCACGGAGACAAGACTGGATGCCAAATTATCCTGATATGGGTATTATATTAGTAACAGATTTTTTAATTATAAGCTGGTTATAAACGGTTTTAATTTTAGACTGACTAACTGTTGTGGAAATTGGTAGGATAACTATAAAATCAAGTCAATTAGGCTGTAGTGGCAAATTTAGCATAGAAATAGAAATACCTAGATGATAAATAAAAAGGAGGAAGAACTTTGCATTCAAAATTTTAATTACTTTTATTTATAGAGACAATCTTTAGTTAATATTCATTATATTGTATCTAAATATATTTAAGTAAGGTCATACGAACATAGTACAGATAAAGAATGAAATTATAGCTATTTAGCCATGTTTAGGTGACTTTGTTCAACTCGTTTAAGATTCGAAAAGAGCAAAAATTAAGTTTATTTTAAGAAACAAATTA